TGCGCCATGTACCGCACTTTGTATGCAGCGATGGCTGTTTGAAAGTGCTCTATAAATACAGTTGAGTTGAGTTTATATATATATATATATATGCACAGAACTATCAAGCCAGTAGCTTTTAAGCTTTTATCTGTGACATAACTCGAACTCGCCCGTGAGTGGCTGGATGTGTAAGCGTTTTAACTACTAGTGATATACTTGATGGCTTCCCTCGTGATTTTCGTAGTAAACCCATTTTTTGATCCCTCTCAGTGAAATTGTGTGTGATTTTAAAAAAGCAAAACAAAAAAACCCACGTCGAATGTGTTTCTGTGTAAATCCAACCTTGGTGTCTCATCTGCCGACTGCCTATCGATGTGAGGGAATTTGTGATATTTTTCTCTTTGTGTGTGTGCGTGTGAAGATATATATATAGATATGTATGTGTGCATGTGTGTGTGTGTTTGCATGGCTCCTTTCAGAGGCTCCGCCATGATCTTTGGAGTGTCTGCCAGGAGCCCTACCAGTGTTGACTTTTGCCTTTCGTTGCCTCTCTCTCTCTCTCTCTCTCGCTCTCTCTCTCTCTCTCTCTCTCTCTCTCTCTCTCTTTCTCTTTCTCTCTCTCTCTCTCTAGATGTTGTAGCCTTTTATCGTGTATTCAAGTCACAGCTTTGTTAGCTGTGCAGACCTGAGTCAACTTGAAATTCATTCATCGGTTAATTACAAAAACGAGGGGGCAAGGCCGAGGCTTCCGATTCAACTTTCTCCTTTAAGCTCCACGATTCAAAACGCAGAAGGGCCAATCACAGAGCAGCACAGAATTCATAGATAACCTTTTTCAAAAAATGGTAGTTGTGCTTATTTTATTATTGTATCGTATTATTGTATTGTGTTTCCAAGAAGCTAATCAACTACAGATAAACAGAGAATGTGGCTAAAGCTATGCGCTCATCACCGTAGTCTTTTGAATCCTTTCTTTCTCTGCTCCAAGGTAAAAAAATGTGCTTGTATGACACGTAAAAAAGGTATGCCGTTTTTAACCTAAAACGCACGCTATTAAGATAAGGACCACTGGTGTGACCATCTCTCTCGCTACCAAATTTAGCCAGCAAAGCTAAGCGAAGCAAGCTAATCTGAGAGGCTACTTTTTCAAAACCTCAGATGAATCCATAAGAATGCAGTCTTTATTGAAAGCAATGTGGTGAAGGTGATTTGGACCCCATCAAATATTAAATGAATGCATTTCAAAGAGGAAAAAGACGCATGTCTGTTGTCGTGATTGGTGATTTTCTTGTTTCACCTCTTGTGTCGATCTTTCTACGGTATCGTAAGTTGTTAATTATGCTCATAAGAAGACATTGAGACAGTAGTGCAATAACACCCTGACATGACTGTTGAATGGTGTCAACCTATTATCAATATGAATATGAACATCCATGTGAGACTTGCGTATCTTTTAGACATCTTCCCCTTTGACATTCCTTTATGTGAGGACCGACTCTGCAGCTTCAACAGTGAAATTGACAAAGAAGAAGAAGGGGGATTTGACAGGAGAAATCTTTAGTCTCATTTAAACTAGTCTAACTATTTCCCCCCATTGGTGCGGTTCATTCATTCAGTCACCGACCAACTTCTTGGTCTTCCATTGCAAAGGCTGCGACCAAAGTTTTAATGCCGAACCGTATCTTTGGTGTTCACACTTGAGATGAATTGAACCGCACCCGAGTTTGGTGGAATTCATTTGTCAAACTATTTCAAACCACAACTGAATGGCGTCGAGTAAGGCTGTGTCAACAATCAGGCTTGGATGGGTTAAAATGAATTTCAGTGTGGTTCAGTTGGTTATTTGACCCATGGTGTGCATGAGATAAACGCACCGTGACCACTTCTGGTTGTGTTCACACATTTGGTTTTGGTTTGGATGAACTCTGGTCCGATTGCTCTGCTACAGTAGTACAATTGTTTGTGTGAGCATCTTCTTAACTCTGGTTCTCAAGGAACAAGCCGATCAAAACCGCTTGGGAGGTTGTCTTGATCCGCTTGCAAGTGAACCCTGGTCCTGTTTGATTAACTTTATGGTGGTTTGATTAGGCTCAAGCATCTGAGGATCTCTTAGCAGGAGTTACTTGATCAAGTATGAACATCTATCAATGGAACCGCTTGAAAAAGTAGAGTCGGGTCCAATCACAAGTATGGTTTGGTTCACTATATCTCAAGTGTTTACACATCCCTTTGTCAGGAACTCTGGTGTAATTGCTCTACTATTGTTGTCTGTTTTGTCATTTATGACCGCGATCAATAGACTCACTTGAAGTGATGTCGGCCACATTGCAAGCGAGGTCTGATGCTGTTCGGTTCAATAAATCTCAAGGATAAATTCTACACTTGTCAGATTTGATTCCATTAAAAGGAACTCTTGTGCGGTTGTTCAGTTGGCACAGTTAATTTGATCAAGTGTGAACACAGATCAGTGGAACCACTTGAAAAGGTAGTCTTGGTCGCATTCAAAGTGAACACTGGTGCTGTCCGGTTCATTTTATCTCAAGTTTGAAAACTACAAAGGAACAGACTAGAGTAAAAATGACAACATAAGGCCAAAGGGTGCTAGCCCATTAAGAGTGAACTAGTTCTGAATTAAATGGCTCCCCGGACAGGATCCTCTTCTGTTTAGTGTGCACCGCCGTGTCAATGTGTCATTAACTGTATATCCCCTCATCATGTTGCCAACAAGTAACCTTATTGTGTGTATGAATGTATGTATGTATGGATTTACCGTATGAACAGACGGGTGACGAAAAAAGGAGAAATCTGGTTCAAGACAGCGGAAAAGTCTTGTGTGTCCAGTATTTAATCATGGAAATAATAAGACAGCTAAATCTAACCGTAATGTTATGATTTCTTAATACCACCGTCATGTTTGCCTGTCAGTGGTTGAGATTATGCTATGTTGGTTTTAACACTCACTTGTCGCCCATCTGTATGTGCCATCTCAGGAGTTGATTTATTTTGTAATAAATAGATTGATTTATTTATTTTTGGGAGGCTCTATATTTACGTCAATCTAGTAACAGATTTTGTTTTTTGTAGTGACTGTTTATATTTGTAACCGCAAAATAGTGCTTTGCATGACCTGGTGACTGATGACGCTGTCATTTATGTACAGATGATTCACGTTAATAAAGATGTGGCTCCATCTTCCCTCAGATGAAATCAAATTTGATTCTGCTGTGGGCTTGTACCTGCTCATTTGTCCACCAGATGGCGATCTACGCTTGTGAAAATGTGTGGTATTTTATTCATTAGCATATGCACAGTCGACTACAGCACAGTCGACTACATGACTACCAGCCCTTGTGGTTCATGGGACTTAAACTTATGTGATATCATGTTAAACACAACACACAAGTATAGCATGCGGTATAACATTTCAATATGGCTGCTAACTCTGGTGGTGGCGAGCATGGCCAACTAACGGTTTACATCTTCACTCCCTGCACTCACACAATGGGCTCAAAAGCACAACCCCAGTTGCAAAAATACCCAAATCAAAATCCATCCATTTATCTAGCCATTCATTTTCGATTCGTTATGACTGCAACCCAGATAAATGTATGAAGGCCTTATATTATCACATCTACACACAAAAAATGGTGGATAACTAGTAAAATCAGTGTCAGGTAAATAAGTGTTTGACTTTTTTTTATTGATTTTCAAGAATGGATTGGTAACAAAAATACTTACAATATCTCATGTTTCAGTTTTGTTAAGAGTGAAGATAATTTGTAAGAAGCATCAAGTTGACGTACATGATTTGCCTTCGTGGGCCACCTAAAATGATGTCACTCGTCAGATCTGGCCCTCGGGCCTTGAATTTGACACCTATACAGCAGATGTTTGCTTCTTTTTACCGAAATGTTGCTTAAAATCTAATTGCAAAGTTGTTCACAAGGAAAAAATGTTATTGTGTTCTTATCGCTCTGTGTAGTGTACCTTAAAACATCACGATCTCGTCTCTCAAACCAGATGTCTATGGCCTGGTGGAATTCAGCGTTGATGACACATAAGTAAATACAGAACAGGTTTAACATTTACAATATTTGATTTTGAGTGTTTTTCCGAGCAGATCGATGAGGGAAAATCACTCTCAACACACTCCACCCCGCGGGATAACTAACTGTTCAGGCTAATCTTGGAGGCATCCAAGAATCAATCCTTTGCTGACTTTGATCGGAAGGAATGCGCAACTTTAGCTCGATTGTTGATATGTGTGCACGCTGCCTTACTTGAAAGCCGCGTAGGCGAGTCTCGTGCTAATGGGAAATGATGGAACATTTTGAAATACCAAAGTCTTCCACCCACGGGAAATAAGAACTGCTGGGATTTGTTCACAGGAATTACAGATTAGACAGCAAAATTCTCTCGAGAGAACACGTGTATGTTCAGCGTAACAAATTCCAGTCAGTGGAACTCCATGAACAGTTATACAATGGACCAGCACCAAGTCTTAATATTAAGATTTTTATTGAACACGATTGCGGGCTATTCATATTCCATTGTTGCAGTAAATAGTCAAACCTTTACTTCTAGCTAACATTGACATCAAAAAGAATTTAGTTGAACCATGGGGGCATCACAAATGTCACGAATTTCTAAAAATCTAATTTATCTGACCACAATACATAATATATATGGAATTGGACATGGCTATTCTGTTCTTTTTTCCTCATTAATAAAACAATTCAGTGCACTGGCGACCAGTTCAGGGTGTAGTCCGCCTTCCGTCTGAAGACAGCTGGGATAGGCTCCAGCAACTCCCCGTGACCCTGTTCGGGATGAGCGGTGTTGAAAGTAGATGGATGAATAGATAGTTGTTGTTGTTAAATATATGATATAAATATAATTTAAAAATATTCACAACAAAAAATATATCTACCTTCAAAGATCAATGTCA